TTTTGGGCGTGGTTTCTGGAGAAGTTTTTTCGCCACCGGCGGGCTGTTCACCCCCCTCATAAATGCCGGTGCATGAACATCAGCACCCACGAGGTTTTCTGAAACCCGGCGCCCCTGATGTCGAATATACATGGTCCAGGACGTAGAACCGTCAAAAGTTGGTGGTTTTATCTTCATATTATGCTTCAACACTACCTGGATTGATAGACTGTATTTCTAATTTATTCACCTTATCTTCAATGCTTGAACTTGGTCCTCAACTTCTTGTCTCAATTGCTGAACATCGTCTTTAACTTCTTAAACATCTTCTCTAACTTCGGATTTAACTTCTTAATGAGCAAAATTTGACAGATGTCGCGTGATTTGACACGTGAAAAAAGATAAGTGTGATAACGTGACGTCTTTCAAAATTTGCTCTTTTTGTTCGCAGATGCGATTACCGAACCCAACCGTTTTTCTGGTGAAAAAAATATAAAAACCGGGGCGGAATGGGGCAAAATACACTTTTTTGGTTTCTCAAAATTATTGTCTCAAAAATAAACATTTAACTGTTAAAAATGTTAAAAAACCTTAATTTACATGTTAAGTAATAGACCTATAGCAAAAAAAAATATATCTTGCTAATTTTGTAGTGACAATTGAGCATCAAACGTTAAGTAGCCCGTTCTGCTCCGCCTTCCCCTATAGGTACCTGCTACAAATGTTCAGTGCTGACAATGAGGGGCAACAGGGGCAACACTATCAAAATTCAAAATGTGACGTGTTTTTATTTAGAGAGTTTTCTTTCGCAACAAGGACTCCAAGTTTTTCAAAAGTAAGGGTGATATTTTTAGTTGCTTTTTGCTCTATCCAATTATACCACGAGAGCCCGGTAGAAACTTTGCCGGTAGGTACATTCCAAGTTCAAAGTGGTTCAGTTGAACTCTACTGCGGTAGGTATTTACTTGAACTTTTTTATTTAAAATATGTACACTTTGGCATGTTCCCACCAGAAACAGTGGCGTAGCTAGGCGTCGGCGACCGCCGACGGCCTCGCGCCCTGAGGAGCCTCGCAAAAAATAGTTTACCGAACCTGAAAATTGGCAGTTTTCGATTTCCCAAAATAAAGCCTAAAGAACAAATAAACTTAATCCTATGTACGAAACTTCTCAATATCATAGAATTCACTAAAAGTTATTAATTCTACTGCAAATTAACCTAGAACTCTCAAATCATAAATATGGTACATCGCACTTTCCCTAACTGGCAACCGACCGAGACTTGGAAATAGGGTAATTATACGTACAGTAGGTATTGCAGATGATCAAGTATTAATTGCACAGGACTATGATGACCTAGAGTACATGACACGAAAATTGATTGAGGAATACGAGAAATGGGGTTTGGAAGTTGGAAGTAAATCTAACTAAAACAGAATATATGACTATTGGTGGTGAACAACGAACTCTGAAGTTGAATAACGGACAAGAAATAAAACAATGTAATGTATACAAATATTTGGGCATGAAAATCTCACAAGAAGGAACCCTAGACGAAGGAATTAATATCGGAATATACAAGGACGCAAGGCAATATCCCTACTAAATGGTGTACTATGGGACCAAAATATCAACAAAACTAACAAAACTAGAATATACAACACCATAGTCAAAAGCATAGTCACATATAGTTCAGAAATCTGACCACTAATGAACAGAACCGCAAAAATGCTGGAAGCTCAATGGACTCAAATGGACTTTTGGAGGAGATCGGTAGGTGGATGGAAAGGTTAACAAATCTGAGAATTATAGAGATCATGGACGTAAAACACACAATAGTAGATGATATAAAGAACAAACAGTTGATTTGGTTCGGACATGTACAAAGAATGGCAGATACAAGAATACGCAAGCAAATTATTGAGTGGAAGCCAGGTGGAAGAAGAAGACGCGGCAGACCAAGAAGAAGCTGGAGAAGTGGAGTGGACGAAGAAATGAGAGACAGAGGCTTGGAGGAGGATGCCTGAATTCACAGAGAAGGCTAGAGATCGGGAATCAGAAGACGTAGAACGTTATAAACCGATAATTATAATTATATATATAAATACAAAAGTTGTAGGGTTTCATCTATTATCTTTTGCCCATGTCAAAACGGGCAAATTACAAGTGCTAACTGTTATAATGACAGCACATGCAGATTTTGAAGTGAATAATTCTTTGGCCGCATGAGAATGATTTTTCAAGGTCGCGTCACGACACGATTTATAAAATGTTTATCTCGCAAGTGAGATGAAGCATATGATGAATATGAGGGAGAGAGAGTAAGTATTCACTTCTATCACGTGTAGTGTGCTGTACGCGACTTCTTTTAAATAGATCACCCTGTATAGTTTTGGCTAGAATGAAAGATTTTAGTCTTCGGATTCCAAATATACCATGTATGCTGATATTTGGTTAGCTGTTTTTGAGCTATATAAATTTAAAGATGCATTTAAGTTCCCGGTTCCTTATACACTTTTTTTACTGCTGTAAACTTAAATAGCGCAAAAAAAGGTGAACTAAATATCAACATAGGTATCTATATGTATATGGTATATTTGGAATCAGAAGTCTATCTAAAAATAGTGGTGATTCATTTAAAAAATGTATCTATGTACTTGTCATTATCACAGTTGGCACTTGTCATTTGCTCGTTTTGACATGTGCAAAAGATAATAGAGATGAAACCTCAAAACTTTTGTATCAAACATTTTCTTAAATTATTTCTTGTTCAAGTTGTAGAAGCCGCACTAATTATAGAGAACAGACCCTGTACATTTTGTATTTATATTATACAGCAAACATGCTAACATACAGAGAATTGGAAATTATTTAGGTTTCCTAAAAAATTGCCGGATTCTTACCAAAAATTGTCAGTCTATGTTTGTGTAATACTGTAATAAATGAGAAATTTATTTTTGATTGGATGGATTTGTTAGCCCGAACAAAGGGGCGTGATTCTCAAAGAATTCTGGCCCCTTTACACCCCCCCTCCCCCCTGTGGATCCGCCACTGCCACCCTACATAAAGAGGGCCTCGCAATTTGAATGTCGCCGACGTCCACCTTTGGTTTGGCTACGCCACTGACCAGAAATGTATTTCAAATGAGAAAGTTCAAGAACCAGTCGAGTGCAAATGAACTAATCGACTTCGAACTTCGAATGAAGGTAGCTACAGGCCCTAGTATGTGAATTTTACTACCTACCTAAAGATTTTTGAAATGTGTTGATACTTTAAATTTCAAGCCAACTTAGTCAATATTATTATTAGTTCTACTCAACTTTTGTTTGTTTTCACTTTTCAAATTTCGTTTTTTTTTTTTTTTTTCATATTCGTTGAATATTAAGATTTGTAAGGTTTTTCCATGACTGACTTAAAATAATTAAGTATTTATTGGTATACTTTCTTATTCTGGAAAAAATAAACTTAGTGCAAAGTTGTATCTTTATCGACGTTCATCATTGACTCAGTAACCTTTATTTACTTCGAATTCAAATAATAACAAATATCTTCAACATTACACCCTGTATGAATTTGTTCAAATGTCTCTCTTTTTTCCAGTTTTTCCAGTAGATGATTGTCTGAAAAAAATCTAATACCATTCTTTATTTATTCTTGTCTCTCTTTGTTACCAATTCTTGTGCTCTCCATGTAGAATTTCTTTCTTCAATAATATCCTTCATAGAGGTTTGGATATATCCTGAATGATGAATAATGAGTCATTTGATGAATGCCTTCTAGATTTGATGATGATACAGGAAGAATACAGTTTTCAGATAAATTACCAAACAAAGATAGCGCAGACATTTAGACTACAAATACCTGATGGAGCCTTAGATTACCAAGATCGAATCCTAGTTTTCAAATTATGGTACAAAATATTATGTCCGATTGAACGACCAATTAGTAGGTGATATGAATATTTTCATATTATCACATCAGAGATTTTTTAAAACAAGGGATATAAGGCAATATCCCGAAATTTTAGAATGTATAGTGATGTAGATTCCATTGCAAATTGTCCATCATGTCCTGGATTAATTTTTAATTTTAGGCCTGAGAAAAATCACAGAAAATGTCATTGAAATGCAATCTTACATTCTTCCAGGACAGTTTATCTTGAAATTTCAATATCAAAAGGCAAAAGAGAACACATTTGGAACAAGTTTGGGACAAAAATAATAATTTAGACCATTTTGTTCGTTTTAAATGCAAGTTTGAACCGAAAATACGTCTCCAAATGGATCTTAATGATTTGTGCTCCAATTTAGGCTGTTTTATTGTTAAACGCAAACTTTAACACATTTCAGATTACCTTGAATATATGTATTTCGATTGAAAAGAAGTGAAATCTTATACCCATTCAGGACAATTTCAATAAAGCCTCAAGGAGAAACATTAAATTAAAAATAAGAACTACCAGTATCAGCACATTTGAGCACATCCACTATCCAGTATAAAATTAATTTTCTGCAACTTGAATTCATGATTTTGAAGTAGCAGCGATAAGACCAGAAGTTGCAACTATTAGTATACTTAGGTGCATAATGGAAGGTCGCCATATTTTTCTCTTTCTCACCTCGGCAAACTTTAGCAAAATTATGATTGCTACTAACTTCGATTGTTTGCGGAATGCAAGTGAGTGAGTTTACTTCCGCTAAATTGAAGGAAGTTATACTTCTGACCTGACTATGTAAGAGTTAGTATGATTTTTGAGTAATCTCTGACATATTTGGGAAAAGTATAAATTAGCCATTCAAAAAAGGATCGCGAGTGAAGCTCTTCACCTGTAACTGACTTCTGTAGGAAAGTAAAAATTTACCTATCCATTTCTTCTTCAACACTTTTTTGACGAATAAATTGTAGTAAACCCTTACTAAAATTATGCTTTATTCAACAAAATATGACAAAGGTTTTTCGAATAAATATCCATTTCTGACAATAAACAAGTCTGAATAATCAAATGGATTTCAGTTAACTTACCATATTTTTCCACATCTTCAGTGGTATGTTCATCAGTTTCTTCAGTGAGGCTATTCAACAGACCACTGATACTATAGGAACATTGCGTATTAAGACTTTCATTTAATTCTTGAGATTCGTGTAAAGAATTAATATTATCCATGTTACAGATAATATTTATAAATCTAGAAATTAAGAATAAATATCTATAGAAATGGAACATTATAGTATTAACTTTACCTATCAATATCCGTTATTCCAAAGTTGCAGATATAAACTCACACAAAAACATTAACTATTTAAAAATATAAATAAAACAAGCACAATAAAAATCTAGCACCCAGTCTTTGTATAGAATAAATACAATATTATAAGCTTTTGCTTTTCTAAAAAACGCGACATTTGTGTTGTGTGCCCGTGCCCAGTAAGGTGCTTATAGGCGAAGCCCTTGAAACGCTTTTATACATGGGAGATATTAACTATTTTTAAAGAGCTTTCCTATAGTTTATAGTTTTTCTACGATTTCATCCTGTGTTTGTTTCAGGTATATTTTATCATGCATGTTTTAATTTTAGGTGCTGGGCTTGCATTGGTATTCAATTCATATACATTATTTTTATTACTATTTTATTTTTATTATTGAAGAAATTCAAACTAGAACTATATCTACTATGTTACCCTTTATAAATTAGAAGAAAATAAAGCATTACGAGTTGTTTCCTCTTATATTTCAATATTTTCTGGGGGTTCAAATTCATAAATCTCGTTCTTAGAGGTTCCCCATAGGTAAAATTCCAGAGGCGTGATGTATGGGGATGGGGACTAAACTGCACCGCAATCACAAATTTTTCAGTCTTCAAAATGTTGCTTAAAAATTCGCTAAACCTGTCTTACATGGCAAGAGGCAGAAACGCTAACCTCTAGACTCTAAACCACAACGTCGCTAAAAACATTTTGGACACACAAATAAATATAGTGGGTGAAGTAATAAAAGTGGAATAGAATTATCCTTGCATAATGGGCTCTTTCACGAAAATTTAAATACGTAATTTAAGTATAAAATCTCAAAGGAGGGACTATTTTAGGCATATATACCAAAAAAAATGTTCTACAAGGTTCAATAAGTTTTTCACAGGCAATCAAAAGTGGCCAAATTCAAATTAATTTTAAACGCGCCGATTTGCCGACGTCACATAAATATTCTTCATTTCGCTTATGTTGTTGCAACGTTGCAAGGAGGACCGGCTCGGCTGTCTTTGCGCTCTGTAAAGATACGTAAAGGTTCGAATGCGCTGTTGTCGGTTGTGACTAAATGTAGTGCAGCGTAAAATAAATAAATAAAAACAAACATAAAAAATTGTATTAAATTGTGTTTAAGCATCAAGCATCATTTAAAAAAAAAATGTTATAAAATCTTGAATCTATAACTAATTAATTTAACTACTTTTCATGAGATTTTGCCAACATTTCAGAATTAAATCTATTACAAATTTTCAATGTTGACAATTAGTGGCAACACCGTCAAATTGCGAGCTGCGACGTCATAGAAATAAATTCTGGGTTTTTATTTGGAGGTATTTCTTTGTTTTCTGTTTTCTCAAGAAGGACTTTGAATTTTTCAAAAGTAAAAATACAGAAAATTCTGTTTTTAGTTGCTTTAGGTATCCAAATATGCCAATTTCAAAAATTTATGAAAGAGCCCATTACCTTCAATTGATTCAGTGACCTCCGCATTATCCTCTTGCTTCTTTAATTTCTGCACCGGGCATGTTATTACAGCTGTTTTCGCAGTTCAGAAACATTAGATCTGCTTTTATTTATTTATTTTCTACTTAACTATTATAGATCCATAATACCTAGGAAACGAAATACGTTCAAATACCTATAACAACCTGAGGGCATTATAAGCCCAGCGGGCGTTATGATCTACAACGCCCGCTTATAATACCTCGAGATGTTTTTGTTGTTGTTTTATTAAATCGAAGACAGCCACTAATGTCCGACCGAAAATAATTTTTGGTCTGACCAGGATTCGAACCCGGTCTATCATCAACGTTTCGTTTCCCATGTAATCGAGCGTGTTAACCCACACGACCACCGTTGCTTATGAGATGTTTATAGATATATTAATTTATTTTGTTTCTAGGTACAGGTACACAAAATACAAAACAATATTCTGTCACACAAGTTTAACTGATTTTGTTTGATACTATAAATTGGTGAAAGAACATTGTGTTGAGTAGAAAATAAAGCATTGTATGTACCACAGAGATTTTTATATTATAATGCCCTTCAGGCGAAATATATCCCTCGGGCCAGAGGCCCTCGGGCTAGTTTCACCTTCGGGCATTATAATCTACATAATCCCCTTGGTACATAAATAGCTATTTTGTCTTCAAAAATACATAGTTACTACCTTCTTTCATATGTATTCAATAAACTGTCTAGTATTTGGAATTACCTAACTTCATTTGTTTCAGGCGTAAAGGAACTGGAAGGCTGCCCTGATGAAAATATGGAACCTATGCTTAAAAGAAGGCTTGTATGGACATTTAAATAAATTGGACAAAAATTCTCGCTAGGTATCTACCTACTGCTTTCATATTATTTATTCAATAAATTGCATATACATTTAGAAATAAGTCAATGATTATTTCTTTGGACGTAGAACAACTGAAAGGCTGCCTTAGAGAAATCATGGAAGTCGGGTCTAAAAGGGCTCGGGGCTCGCATACGTAAATACACGAAATTTACGTCTTTTATTAGCCTAGAATAATATTTACCAATCAATGACAGTCATGACAGATATAGTTTGGCAAGTGGTAAGTTGATAGAGACGAAAGGGGAAAGAAAAGCGGGGCGTAACCTAAGAATATTCACTGACACCTCAACTGACACCGCTTGATGACAGCCATGTCTTTGGGTACAGTGGCACCGAAGACACCAAGGAAATGAACCAATGAAATGATTGCGCGGTGGTCCATATCTCCTATACCAACGGAGATCGAAGAAAAAACTAAATACAAAACTTGTAGATAAACATAAGTACTACATTCCTAAATTATTTTCCAGTATACAGGGTATCCCAATAACTAGTAGTGACAGAAAGTTATGTTTTTTTGAATGACTTCCCCTGTATATATATTATGACATTTCCGGATTCTGCGGAAAATTCTAGACATATTTCATGTACAGTGTCATTCATATACCTATCTTCAACTGTTTCGGAAATATTGACAGTTGAAAATTGACTTTTTTGCATCTTTGACAGACTGTAAAACCTGAACGGTTAATTTTACAAGAAAACGGATTTTACATCCCTATCTTAGTTTTTCATAAACTTTCATTTGACATCAACCTTGAATTTAATCCATGATTAAAAATTCCGCCTAAATTAGGGTGACCATACGTACAGCATTTCGCTGTATTGTACAGCATTTTCAAAGTCTGTCCAGCATTTGATTTTGTACAGCAAACGTACAGCGATTCGGACCCGATCATAATTAAGTTTTTCTTTAAAAAAAAAATACGAAAGATTGTCCCTCAATAACTAAAGACATTTCTACATTTGCGATTTTCGTCATTTACGCGATCATCTCCCAGAGTGGCCAGAGTATTCTTTTTAATGCTGACTACCTTTTTTATCTCTCTCTATTCCACGCTAGAAGAAGACATAGCATAATAGGTCTGTTTCTGCAGCAATAACAAACCAGTCAGCGCGAACTTCATTGGTTGAAAATAGTCAGAAACAGTCAGAAAACTAGTTTCAACCCAAGGTTTCTAAAGTTAGGCCGGGGTTACCTAATTCCTTAATTCTTAATTTTTGTTCTTAATTCCTAATCCTTAAAAACACCAATGTTAAATAAATTGAACTTTTTAAGAATTAAGAATTAAGGACAAATATTAAGAATTAAGGAATTGGGTAACTCCGGCCTTAATAGGTTGTCTGGTAATGGTAAACAGATGACGTCATCAGGAAGATCTAATAGAGATTTGCATTTGCATTATGTTTAGGCATCTAGATAACGTCATATATAAGTTATCAGCTAACCTACCTCTTTCAAACAACCTTGGTTTCAACCATTGAGGTTTTCAACCAATGAAATTCACTCTGACTGGTTTGTGATTTCTATGCGAACAGACCTGTTATGTTGTTTTTCATTTTTATTTTTATTTTTTTGTTAAATGGTACTAAAACAGGCTATAAAGTCGACAAAATTTGCATCTAGTGCTTACTCCACTTACCTGCCCTAAAAATTTTAGATGTGTACAGCATTCATACAAAAAAAATATGGTCACCCTAGCCTAAATTATTGATCATAAGTTAAATTCAAAGTTGGTGTCAAATGATAGGTACCTTATAAAAATCTAAGATACGATTGTATAAAATCCGTTTTCCTCTAAAATTAACCGTTTAGGTTTCACAGTCTATAAAAGATGCAAAAAAAGTCAATTTTCAACTGTCAATATCACAAAACATCCCCCCTTAGAAAGGTAAGTGCCGTGTTGAGAACCTGTCTATTACAGTGGCTAAATAAACCTTTACATACAGTGGCGACAATAGAGGTCCCGCCGCCATCTTGTTCCCAACCTCTTGTTACTTTTAAATATTTATATACATAAGATTTAAATGGACATCTATCATAAAAAATTGAAATCGACGTATTTGATGACCAGTATTAGGTCCATCAAATACGTTGTTTTCCATGATTTATGATGAATGCTCAACTAAATCCCATATATTCATATTTGAAAGTAACAAGGGGTTGGGAACAAGATGGCGGTGTTTTCAATATAAATATATGCGATTTGAGAACCAATCAAAAATGAGACAGCAATTGTCGCCACTGTGGGTTATAGAGTCACTGTACTGTCTATAAGTTTTCAGCGCCTCTAGTGACTGGGGGGGTAAGCTTTTGTAATTCTGGATTTATTGGCGAATGCAAAACGCAATTAGGGTTCGTTCGGTATCTTATTCGTTCCGGTTGATCGTTTGCACCATTGTTTGATTCTAGCGATTCAACACCACCACTTTAAAGTTTCTACCATTTTTTGTCATAAAATAATTGTGCCAAAAAGAAGAAACTCATAAAATCGGTAGTGTTGAAGCGCCTTCAAGGTAAAATTGACTAAGAATTAAGATGACAAATTTAGATATTTATTAAAGTTTGAAACAGAAAATATTAAAGAATATGGAATTAATTACAATTATTGCGAAACAGTTTTTTTTCATGTAAGTATACATACATAGGTAGGTACCTAATGCTAGTTAAGTTAAAGATAATAAGGACAGTTACAAGAAGTAATGACGTACATTTAACAATAGCTTGATGAAAAACTTAAATCGTAAATAAAATGACAAAAGAGGTCCTTTTCTCACAATCCAAAATCGTTGTTAACCTAACAAGTGAGGAAAGT